TTTAGTGTATTGTTTAGATAACTGTGTAAATATGTTAGAACAAGGAAACTTCAATATTCACTCTGACTGTAGATGATGAACGTGAATGCAATCTGAAAAGTTATATTGGTGTTTACGCTTGTATGTAAATCTCTTCTTTGTATGAGGAGATTGACTAAGTATTAAATATATGTATTTATTTATTTATATTTTTGGGTCATTTGTAGTACTACTTCCATTTTGTTTCACGTGTAATATAGAAATCATTACGTTTCTTAATGAATTCATGTTTTGTATAATTTTTACCAATGTTAATTGTTGGTGTATTTATATATATGTAATGTATGTGTATATGTATTACATAGTACCAGTAGAACTTTAAATGCACAACCACTTTCAGAAGCCACTCACTGTACTTTCTAAATGATTGTTATTTTTATTCATAGATATATTCATAGCAGCCTCCATCACCACCAAAACTAATTTAACAGTTACTCTGCACATTCATTTGATTTTTGTTCAGTAGTTTAGTCATTTTATCATTAGTTTCTTTTAAAATTTATATCTCCAGTTTGCATGCCTTGACCAAAATATTACTGCATGTTACAGGCTTTTACTAAGTGCATGATCACATTGCATGGTGTGTAGCTCATTTTCTAGAAAGCATAGTAGTATAGAATCAGTAATAATCAAGCAGGATGTAACTCATTATTTTTTTTTATCTACAACTTCTTTAGTCTTGCCTTTATAAATGAGATAAAAGTCGTAGTCATAATATCAAACCCTTGACAGTTGCTAGAACTAGATCATTGTATCAATATATTATTTTGTGTTTTATCCTTGTATCCTAATTCATATAACCTCTTGCAGAAAACAATAAGTGGGTCGGAGAAAGTGTCAATACAAGCCAGGCTGGAGGGCTGAGTGCTTCACCAAGAGTAAGTGTCTTTCTAGACTGACAAATCATATAAGAGGTCAGCTGTTTTCATATGAGAACACACTGTATTTATGATATTAGTATTCATAACTATACTGTGTGTTCTTAATATATAACTGAAATTCTCTGTAATTAACCTTTCAATTTATAGTATAGACTTTGTTATGGTTCTAAAGGTCCTATTAGTTTTATTTTCATTTCCTTTTTAAAGCCTGCTGAATAGCAGCTGAATTATGCAGTACACCCTCCTATTTTGTGACTTTGTAATTAGCAACCAAGCATACTTTGAGGGCTCCACTGGGAAAAATAATGCAAAACAATTGACATTTCTGAACTCAACTTCTTCATGCAAATTTGCTGTTGGGAATGTTGGCCAAAATGGGTTTTACCCCACACATTTCAACATAATACTTATAAACACCATTATGTAATGTCGAGACTCCTTAAGTTAGTTCATAATCAAATGAGATCCTGATACCTAACAGTATCAGCCACTGATAAGGCTTTGTTTAACATCTAGCATATCATTTAGAGACAAGACAGACAAGATATCATGATTTAGTTGGTGTGGTGGTGTGTGTGCAGGTGTTTGTGATTTTAATTGTGTGTGAGAGAAAGTAAATTTATTTCTTCTCTCTCTCTGTTTGTGTGTGTGTGTGGGGGGGGGGAAGAGGGACAGAGAAGAGAGAGATGAGAGTATGTATTTCATGAATGTTTGCTTTCATGTTTGTTTAAGTTTAATGAGTATGCATGATGATTTGTGGATGTGTGTGTGTGCTGGGAAAGATATGTTTGAATTTCCATGTGACTGTGGCAGAAAATGATGTGAGAGCCATTTTAGTAGACCACATACACTAGAGAGCTACACTTTATGCATAAACCACATTTTACAAATAGCCTACACTTCCAAGGGATTTCTTTTGTTTTTTTAATGCAAACTATGTTTTCCAAGTGTAGTCTTTGCATAGCCATACACAACAAATACTAGCAGAACTGGTTATAATAAAAATGAGTAATAAATAGAAAAATGGGAGAAAAATTATGATTTTTTTTAACTTTTCAGCATTTTGTAATACATTTTGAAATTAGAGCTCCCAAAGATTATTGCACATTGCCAGGAGCATTATGTCCATATTTTTTTAGTTTATCCCTCAGAGAATGGTAGGATTAGAAAATTATTTCATCTGTTCCCCACAGTACCTTTTGAATTGGTGAAGATGGCATCATGACTACATGTTATGTCCACTGTAATTTTAGTCTATTAATTGTGTTTACACAGAAATTGGCTCCAGAAGTGCCTAGTCACCAAGGAGTCAATTATTAGCCTCACCTGCAAGACCTTTTCCTTGATTTTCAGCAAGACTTTTTAAATTAACTTTACTGTTGTCAGTACTTTAAAGAACATAACATTTATTGTAATAATAGTATCAATATTGATAGTTTAGAAAAATAAAATTTTCCCACGCTTTCATGGAATGGGGAAATCAGGTGGTCACTACTTGATTCCTTGGTGGCTTAGTATGGAAGTTATGAAAAAGAAGCTGGTATGGGTTTTACAAGGAAACTATGAAATTTCATTAAAAATACATTTTCTGTGTCTTTCAGTGTACACTTTGATACACCATAATTTTGAGGGGCACTCTGTTTCCCTCTTTTTTTGAAGCTCAATGAACTTTGACCTATATGAAATGGCATTATGCCTAAAAATCTCAATTGGTTCATAAAAATAATGAAGGAAATGATCCAAAATGTTCAGTTGCACTTTTTTTTTGCTTGTTTGTATATGAATTTATCATTATTTTTTTACTTGAAAACTGAGCACATAGAAATGTCACCACTTTATAATCATTCATAGAGAAAAAGAAAAACTGAATATAACCTAATGCATGAATATTGCAGTCTAATAGTTTGGATAAAGGATTTCTAGTAATTTTTATGATTTTAAAATATTTTACCCACAATTATTGAAAAGAGAGCCACCAATTGGAGCAACATGGATTCACAAGCTGCTCTGTGAATACCACAGATCTACTCGCACCCTCACTTCAGAATTGGTCTTTTAGATACCCTGGATCCACTCATTATTGACTTGCTCATGCCCATGCTTCACAGTTTTATTGTAGAAACATTTATCTCAGCAAATTTTTTATCTACAGAGGTTTTACATTATTGTCCTTTTAACATATATTTCACTACCTTTACTTTGTAACTCGGCATGTCAACACATTTTCCCAGAGTAGATGGGGGCATACTCTTAAGATTTGTTACATGAATTCAGTTAGACAGATTTAGCTCATGATATCATTTTAAAAATTACAGATGTATTGTTAATTATATCTTATGAATCGAAACTAAGATTTTATTTTCTGTTACAGATGGACGATAGTCGTGGTAATAGTGGGAATGACAAAGAAAGTATGTTGAAGCATCTACTGTCCAAGTAACATGCTTCCTGCCAATCATGCTATGTCATCCACAATGTCACTCATATGGTTAACCAGTCCCTACAGACCAGCCTGCTACCAGTCATTGCAAGTTGCAGGATGTGTCATGGTATTACCATGGACATATTTTGGAGCACTTGTGCCTCACTGCCAAATAAATTTATTGGAACAACAAAAATAAAGAAAACCAAAAAATATACAAAAAATATATATATATTCGTGTATGTCTTTGAAACCGTTTAAGGTTTGGTGATAGAAAAAGGAAAATAATAGGAATAATTAAATACATACCGAAATAGAACTTGTATTAAGCACTTGTTGAAAAAATTGGAACTATGTTCTCTACTGATGAATATATCCTCAGGTCTATAATGATATGTCAGTATGTATTAAGAAAAATAAACATTTATTGGCTTAAATGTCAAAGAATTGTTTGATTATTTTTGTTTATATTTAAATGATAGTGTAAATGTACATAAGAAAGAGGGCAGTAGGGGTAGGCATGCTCCATTGTAATGGTTGAGGGAAGCCAATGTGATGTTTTAATGCCAGAGCAGTCCTGTGATTTAAACTTTAACCAGTACAAAAGGGGGGAATGCTAGAAAATTAAATGGGTGTTGGGAGTACGTGCATCTTTCTTTCCCATTTACCCACAAGTAATGTGTACACACTCCCTACCTTGCTTTTACCATTGATTATATTAAGGAAATGATTTCTCTTCTAGGTATATGAGACTCATGATTTACCTCATAATGAGAATACCTGCACATGGTCAGGATTTATATCTCAATTCTTGTCTTTTTTTCCTCTCTCTCTCTTCTCCTCTCTCTCTCCCCCCCTCTCCCTTTCTCCCCCTACCTCTCCCCTCTCTCTCTCCCTCTCTCCCCCCTTGCCCCCTCTTCTACCTTTTTTTCCTTCTTTCCTTTGCCTTCAACTTCATTATCTCTTTATTGCCCCAGCATGAACTTGTATCAAGCATGAGATAGAAAGACTTGCTGCACACATGTTGGCCACAGAAATGAGAATGTCTTTGATGGCATTTTACCATCTTTGTTTGGCAGGGAGTACGGCAGCCAGCCAGGGTAGGTTCAGTGAAGCTGCTAGTGGTACGTTAGCTGTGGTTTGGTTCAGCCTTATGTGCAATTCTTACCATTGGGTTGTGACTTACATGTCTAGTGTACAGAGAGATTATTATTCTATGAGGAGGGTAACAGTTGCTGTTGTCAGACTGTTGTATACTATTGTTATGAATGTAAGTACCATTAATATAGTTCACTTATATACAGAGCCTTACATACTCAACTCTTCTATACCAAAGGCATTAATGTAGATACACAGTGTACTTGAGGAAACTTCCCTAACCCCTGTATTTTCTTTGCACATCACCAAGTTGAATGTTAGTAGCAAGATGTTATCAAGATTAGAGATTAAAAGATATGTTATAATGGTTTATTATTTTTCTATGAGAAAGTTTATTGACCTGTTGTTATTCTACAAAGAAAAATTAATGTTGGGCAAAGAATGATTGAATAATTGTAGGAACACAGAAGTGACTGGGGCCAGGAGATGGAAGACAGCGCCAAAAATCTATATGTCCGCCACATGTGGTGCAAACGCGGCTGGGAACAACTTGCTCATCATTCACTAACGGCTACTTGTGGACTGGCTTGAGATAGTATGGCCCTGTGGGAGTGACCATGAAAGAGTTAAACAAAGTGTCAGTTGGTGTCATCCTAGGACCTACTATGGATGAGAGGAGGGCAACCTAGATGCCTTGTTTACTTAAACAATGTTCTGCTTGTGTTACTTGGCAGATGAGTCCTGTTAACTGAAAAGAACTCCTCTTATCCTAGACCATAAAATAAGACTGCATTTCTTTCTAGAAAATTTACATTAACAGGGCTAATAATATTGGACTACTGAAGGATACTATAACAATTATTAGCCTTTGTTTGCAGCAGAAAAACTTTTTAATGCAGAAAAAAAAGACTTCAGTTTAGCCTGGAAGATCCATATTACAAACGTTTTTTCAGGCAGAAATGGAAAGTGCTCTTAAAATAGGAACTGTTAAAAGTGACAAAAGACAGTACAACCAAAGTGATTATGTGTAATTTAAGTGCAAGGATGTGATTTCTGGACTCCACATGAAAACTGGAGTTTGTTATGAAAGAGTGCTGGCCCCAGGATGTGATAAGGCTACTTATTGGTTATGTGGTACAGTAAGGAATTGACGGTTCCAGTTCGATCCCCTCCTGACCATCTGTAGTTACCCCAGAAGTGACCTAGTTACTGTTTCATTCAGTAATTGATGCGTAAGGCCTCACATGCAGAAAAAAATTGTTAAAAGTATATTGATTATTTTATAAATCCCAAACTGTATAGTTCCTCTGCGGACAAGGAGCCTCGGGTACTGTGGTGCCCATGTCCAATCTTGTTTTCCCTCCAACGCTGGCACTCCAAGATTGGTCGTATTTTGTAGAGTATCAGCATTCAGTTGTATGTTTCATTTGGTGGAGTAAGATTTTTGTATATATTTGTAGTGTATAAGACAGTAATTATTATGTAACAGTTATGGAATCCCACTCTTGAAGAACGGCCACTTCCCTCCAAGGTGCTGTTCGTTCAGGTGGGGCTTTCGTCATGCCGTATAGTCTGTATTATCATTGGTTTCTGCAGCTTCATTGGTTTGCATTGGTTCGTTCCCTGTACATTGTGTGTGTATAGGCAAGTTTCACCATCATGAAGCCACATGGCAAAATAAAAGAGAAATGGTGTCCAATTTTTTTCTGCCCTTTTTTTCTTAGGATTTATAAATTGATACAGTATATATAAATTTGTCAGGAATACTTCACCAAATAAAATGTCTTGAGGAAAATAAAATAAAATAAAATACATTTTAAGATAGCGTTTATTTAGAGCATCTACAGGCACACTCCCTCCTATGGCACCAGGCCAAACATCTACCAGTTCATCTATCCTCGTCTATATGGACTTGGCAATACACTGAAGAACAAATCACTTTTTTTTTTTTTAAAGACTGATATCATATGGGGATGTTTTTTTTTTTTTTTTTTTTAAGTTTCTAGTACCCAATAGTACATTTTTTCATATGCTGATTAGTGATCTATATTACCAACCACAATACAATTACCAACAAACATGCATACAGCAGTAGTACAGGGAGCTGGATGACAGACAGATTCCGATGCCGTAATGACGACAATAACGACACTTGGGGCACCACAACAAAGCTACTACATACACACACAATAGGCAGGTGGAATCCCACCTAGCCACATGGCCAGATTTGTGTTCTATGTCACAATATGTACAAATGGCCAGCTATTGGGCTGATCAGACACTGTTTTCCAGGGATTTCAGAAATTAGTGTTTCATTGGCACATGGAAATGCCAAACAGGAAAAACTGAGCACACTACTGGCCCATATTTATTCACCTGGATTTACAATTTAACATCTTTACTGGAATAAATGTACAGACATGATTAGACAAACTAGGAATTCCCAATAGCAGCCTGAGGGGTGTTGGGAGGGTTATAAGATATCACTAACATAAATAACAGCATAAAGGTAATATACTTACAGAAATGCATATTAAGTGCTATATAATAAAAGAACATAAACTATAATTAAGGTAAAGGTGAACATGCAGCAGACAATCTGAATGGGAATGTGATAATAGCTAGGAGTTTAGAAATTATCCTAGAAGCTGATATGAAACCTTGGAGAATGAATAATTAAGGAAAAAATATCCTGAATGGAGGAAAACCACTAAACAAGTGTTTCCTAGCCAGACTCTCTGCTGCTTTACTTTCCATATTATACTGGTAACATCTATTCTAAGGATCAATCATTCAGTATCTATCTCTGCTTCTCCATTCGCTAAAATAAGTTGTTATCCCCATATGACCAGGAACAAATATTTAGTGAAATACAAATATTGTGTGGAGAAGCAGGGAACACTGAGTGTGCAACACTTCACTTCTTAAAACTATGGTCACATCTTACAAACTACAAGTATTAAAATAACCTTAACCTATCATGTATACTTTGGTTATATAATTGTATAGGTCTCTAAATCAATGGGAAATTAAGAACAACAGATCTTGGATATCTTGATCCAAAACTGAACTACATACTTAACAAATACTATAACAATGAATCATATAAATTTCATATTTACCATTTGATATTCTAAAACACACAAATGTCTCATTATACAATACAGTCCCATATTTTCTTATCCAGTAGTATCCGTGCAAACAAAAAACTGCTTTGCTTTGATACACATTAAATACAAATATACTGTAAAATTCCAATCATTGTGTATTTAATTCTGAAAGGGTCTTCAGTACTTTTTATTCATATCATTATCATTTGCTTAATTATCACATACTTGGGATAAACACTACTTAGTGGACAGGCGTGAAAGCCCTGCCGCTTGCCAAATGGGTTAAATAACACTTCCCAATTGGCTCTTTATATAATTTCACGCCTTACTGTTGGATTATTGTAAAAGCAGGTGTTTTCTTGGATTAGCAAATAAATTAAATATGCTATTGCAACCAAGACCTCCTAGGTTCTAGCCTACATTAGCTTCTATCCTAACAGATAAAGCAACAATACCTTTTACAAAGGTACAAAAAACTATTTTTCATACTCACAGTGAAGGGTGCAAGGCGGCACACTGAGGTACATACACAAGTCACCTTTACTATATACAGAAGCAGAATATTGGCATGTTCAGTTTGTACAGTGACAATGTGTATGAATGAGTTTCACTATGAGGTAATGCCCAATTATTCTAGGGCAAATGCACTTGCAAAGCTACATATTAGTACTGTTTATTTACACAATCACCCAATCTATGCCCTTTTACAGGGAGACTGAAGAAGAAAAAAAATCTTAAAAGAGAATATGGTCCCAACAAAAACTTTACAATAACAGGGTTTCTAAATTGCTTTTTCACCTTTGAAACATTTGTCCTCTGTTTTAGAAACACCATTGTTCCTAATATCAAGTAGGGGCCATTAATTAATCAGCAGCAAACACCTTAATTAAGAATTGGTTCTGGTTCAGACTTGATTGTGTCCAAGCCATCTCTATACATAAGTGATGATCTATCAACTATACCTGCAAGAGCAGCACTACTGCCATGGCCATCAAATTGGCTATGGCCAGCGCCAGCTCGGGCATTAGCCTCAGCACTGCTATGGGCTGGATTTACATGAGAACTTGTCATTTTACTAAACAAAATTGATTCTGGTGATGGATCTGCATCATCCGAATTTAATCGAGAAGCATGTGCATTCAAGCTGTTCATGGCATTCAGAACCTGCATAGCAGCAGATGGGTGTGGGTGGCGGGGAAAGCCAGGATGGAATGGACTAATTGGGGCCTGTGGGTGCTGAGGATGTGGCTGGTGACCAGGAAGGTGGTGATGAGAGGTGCTTTCTCCAAACAAACGAGCCAGGTGGGCTGGGGACGCTAAAGATGTTGCTAATGGTGAAGGCAGACCACCTGGCAATAATCCTCCAAGTGGCAGGGGTTGTGTCTGATGATGCTGAGGTGTATGCTGTGGTGTATGTTGAGGTGTATGCTGTGATTGTGGCTGATGATGGTGATGATGTGGCTGCTGGTGTTGATGCTGGTGATGATGTGCATGTTGAGATTGATGATGATGATGTTGCTGCTGATGATGGTGCGATTGCTGTTGCTGATGCTGGTGGTGGTGGTGATGTTGCTGTTGGTGATGGTGTGATGACTGTTGCTGGTGATTATGCTGTGGGGCCTGCTGTGGCTGCTGCTGAGGATGTGATTGTAGCTGCTGTTTTGGTTGAGACTGAGGTTGCTGTTGCTGTTGTGCTTGTGCTTGTGCCTGTGCTTGTGGCTGAGCTTGTGCTTGTGTTTGACCTTGAGACTGTGACTGTTGTTGCTGAGATTGAGATGGCGGCTGTGGCTGCTGCTGTGGCTGCTGCTGTGGCTGCTGCTGTGGAGACTGTTGTGACTGTGGCTGTGATTGATGAGATGAAGACTGTGGCTGCTGCTGCTGCTGCTGTTGCTGCTGCTGTTGTTGTTGCTGCTGTGGCTGCGGCTGTGACTGTGACTGAGACTGTGACTGTGACTGTGGCTGTGACTGTGACTGTGGCTGTGGCTGTGGCTGTGACTGCGGTTGCTTCTGCTGCTGTGGTGAATGCTGTGGCTGATGGGCAGGTTTTGGCTGCTGTTGGCTACCTACGCTTGGACTGACTGATGGTGTTCCATTGATAATACTGGCATTGCTGGTGTTGCTGTTACTGTTGCTAAGACTGAATACAGGTGAGGACAAGACAGAAGAAGTTAATGTATGAGTACTGAGAGCAGCAGATCCAGTAGCATTTTCTCCCGATGGCTGAGGAGAACTGCCAACTGTGGTGGAACTGTTCACCACACGAGACTCACTTGAAGATGGGCTGTCAGCTGCTGTGGCCATAAGGCTTCCTGGAGTAGGTGGAGTTGTCATAGGTACAGAAACTGGAGTAGAGGCAGCTGGTGTTGTAGGTGCAGGAATGGGAGTATTGGTGCAGGTGTAGATGGGGCTGGAGTAGATGGGGCTGGAGTGCTTGGAGCAGTGGAAAGACTACCATTGTCAGGAGTATCCAGCATAAATGGTGGCAGAAGTCCAGCTGCATTAGGCAGAAGACCTGAAGCATTGGGTAGAACACCTGAGGTATTGGGTAAGATGCCCGAGGTGTTGGGTAAAATGCCCGAGGTGTTGGGTAAAATGCCCGAGGTGTTGGGTATAACACCCGAGGTGTTGGGTAAAATGCCCGAGGTGTTAGGTAGAGCTCCAGATGCATTGGGGAGGATGCCTGAAGTGTTGGGAACCATGGGTCCATTGGGCTTAATCAGAGCATTGGCTGGATCATCCGGCTGTAAAAAGAAAAAGAAAAAAAATTACTTTTCCAAAAAACACTTGCTATACAAGGAATAACAAAAACTACTTTCTGGAAATTTTCCATATGATAGCTATATCATTGACCTCCAATTATTCGTCAAGACTGATCTGGAAAGGTCGTCATGAATTCTGCATCAACCCAGAGAAGCTGAGATCTATCCAAAGTGTCCACCTTTCAAAGTTTCTCATTCTGATCAATGGTCAAAGTTAATCTAATTATTTATTTAACTCCAGAATTTCTGAGATATATCCTACAGTATTTTCATGTTATATTAACTTTTGTAGTCACCATATTAATTTTCTACTAATTGTACTCAACCTTCAAGGAAGGGAAAAGCAACAATAAGTGATTCACATTACATTTTCTACATATGAAAGAGTGCAATCTATTACAAGCTATCTATGAGTCAAATACATCTGGTCTGAAAACACATAATACTAACCCGTGGCACCTTAGGTGTAGATGGCTGCTTGTTTTCCTACAGAAAGCAAAGAGAAATACAGGGTGAACATTGACTATGTAAAATTTGTGGGAGTAATCCTACAGGTTACTTTTAACATCAACATTGTGAAGTATGGGGGGGGGGGGATAAAAGGCATCATAATACATCAAGACATTCAAATATTAGCTCCATAATGTGACAAGTCTTGATTCCGTGCAGGTGTGTAGATACATTTATAGTGAAAGATTATGTGACTATTTAGGAGTGGCTTATATATAATCCAATAACACTGAAAACTTGGATGCAAGTATTAGTCCATTTGAACATTACAAACAGACTAAATCATTTAAGTGAGACGAACAAGTGAATATCAGATTCAAACTCTACAGAAAAATCACATCAAAATATCATTACAACAAAGAGTAATGTGCAGTTTGGGATTTGAATAAATGAGTAAATACTAATGATAATCATCATAAGAAATAATAATTAGAACAGAGTAATCAATGTAACAGATAACTCAAATAAATTGTGAAGAATATGAACAAGTAAAAGGTTTTTGTTATATTAAATACCAACTGTATCATATAAGATACATAAAAAGTAGGAGTAGTATAGAGGAAAATGGAGATGAAGAAAGTCGTTTTGTAGTAATATAATTACAAAATATCATCATCATCATCATCCATCACCATCACCATCATCATTATCATTGTCACATTCAATCATCACCATTTTCACCATCATCACCAGCATCGTCAACAATGTTTGACGATGGGGATGATAAAATTGTAATGATTAATGAAAATGACAACAATAAAAATTATAATAATAATGATAATAAAATGTTGACTGAGGAGATAATGATGATGAACGAAGATAAAAACAATAAATGTGAAAAAAATATTGATATCACTATTATTAATAGTATTTTTCATTATCATCATTATTAGTTATTTTCTTTTATACTTCTTAATAAATAGTAACTGTTATAGCAATAATGATGATGACTGATGATGATGATGATGACGAAATTCATCAGATTGTAAGGATTATGAGAGTAAAGAGATAAGACAGTCTTGTGAAAAATGATAAAAAAAACTTAATGGGAAAAAAGTTGACAATAAAAATAAAGCGCGATCACAATTATAACATCAAGTTTAAATACCTTAGTCTTCCCTCCCACCTTATGCTCATTTTCCCTGAACACTGAGGTGTCTCTGAACACAACGGCCCTGATCACGCCCTTGATCTGTTCCTCGGGCCAGCACCCCAGCAGTATTCTCTGCGGACGTCCTCGGCCCTTCGGTCGCATGTCCCCCGGCTCGTTGGAAGGCCCGAGCAGGTTGTGCACGCGGTTGGCATAAAGCACAAACGTTGGGTACGGGATGTCATACTTCCTGGCAGCCTGAAATGGGTGAGGAAACGTTAAGCAGTGTTTACTTTGATTCTGCTTCTCTTGCAGACTAGTAAATAATTGTGCACGATTTTTGCCATGCCATTTGTGAAACAGAATATATTAAATGCAGCTTACCTGAGACAGGGACAGGCCTTCCTTCAGCACAGCGTGAATAGCTTCAGCCATCGTCTCGGGTCTCCAAGACTTGAGAGGTCCGCGCTCTCTAACCGCAGATTCTGAAGCAGGCTCTGGGTTTGGTTCCAGCTCTTCTGCCATGCTGCCTGAACTTGGGCCTGGTATGAATCTGCAAAGGAATTATATGATTAAATACTGAATCATGCTTCGTAATGTAATCCTAATGAGCGATACAATTAAAATAAACGAATGATAAATCCCTACTCTGGTGTAGATACAGAATTCCTCTACCATTATACACTAATACAGAAGATTTTCGACGTTTTTTTGGGGTGAGGGGAGTGGAGAGTGAAGAAGCGATTACCAACAGGGTGACCAGAGGTTGGATGGCAGTGATAACAATTTTATGATGACATTTGACGGCAATTAATGTGCCTGGACCGTGGCAGTTGTGAAGCCTCACATATGACCTAATATTTTACGTGTGAAACTATCAGCTGCTCAGCTGACCACCGTTGTGATTCATCGAAAACTTCTCACATGATAAATAATAAATATAATTCCTAATCACCTCGAGGTTATTATGGCTAGGGGATATCCGAGTCCGCGTTTCGCTTGGAATCATTTTTATAATCAATCCCCTTAGTGACCAGAATGAATAAACGTAATGGAAAGCTTGAGCATTAAAAAAATCATAGTGAAGAAAGTACGTATGCGCTGAGCGGTCATTTGTCTTCGCGGCCCTTAAGTTACTGCGGGATACTCACAGCATATTTGTTTATAAAATACTGCCGTAAGATAACACTGGTAGAAACAGAGAAACAGGTATACTGCAGCATAATTACAATTTATCGTTTACATATTTACAATGATAAAGCTAGAATAATCCCAAAGCATATTAAAAAAAAAAAAAGTTTTCACAACTGTCACACACCCAGTACTACAGTATCACATCACGGCCAGAACCTAAATATTCAAACAGACCTAAACGATCTGGAAAAAGGCAGAACAGAATACGTACGCAAAAAATAACATCGAAAATGCCAGGATTGATAGGCAACGCCATCCCTGCAGACTTTTCATAATTATAACACATGCATAATGACTAAGGCAATTATATACTTTTTCATCGTTCAGTGAGAATTGGTCCTCGCTGAATTATGCATCGCCTCGGACAGTACGAGAAAAGAGCAGATGTTCACAGGCAATGGAATCAAGGGAGAACAGAACATTTATCAGATAAAGAGAAAGTCGAGGACAATCATTGTCCATCTTCAGTGAGCTCCAAGTATAAATCAGTTGTCTTTACTGATAAATTAGAAATTACATCGCGAAATCAGGTTGCTCCGATAACGTGACTGGACCCCTCCCTGCCGCGTGCAATCACTACAAACAAAACTCGGGAGATTGCAAAGTTATATTTTCATTTGTTTGACATAATAACGTTGCAAGGTACCTGGCAATTTGGACGATTTGCCATTCAGAGCCATTGGCCAAGACATGAAACATTTGCGTTTGGTTAACTTTGGCGCGCTCTCCCTGTGACTCTACTGTGCTCCGATTTTTCTTCAATAGTGTTCATTCCCAGAATTGAGAATGAAAAAAATAAAATGAAAAACTCTCCAATCCCTATCAAAATAAAAATACGAAATAAAAGAAATGCCATCTTCATATTTGGGCGCGCCTCGATGTGATTTGAATTGAATATGAATTATTTTCGCATACATAACGATAGGACAAACTTGTGGGCAAATTGCGTAAAATTACTTGACTCAAATTACCTGTCTATTGTTCGGCTGATGGGCTGAGGTCCTCCCATAATTCTCTAGCAAACTTTTTCAATTACAATGGAACAATGACAAGAAATGCGTTACCAAAATTCGTAAAATAATTCAGTCTCGGCATCTTGTTTGGTAACTACTCGTGTCTTCAATTGACTATATAAAAATGAAGCAAATGCTGAATTTTCCCATAACATAACAAACCTACAAAGTGAACATTATTTATTTGTTTCATCCAACCTTGAAAATCATTTCATATACTCCGTCTGATATACTTTATTTTCTCCCAATCAATCCTTTCCTATGTTCGCTATGATGCAATAACATCTCAAATAAAATGATGCAATGACATATAAGTACAAGAGTATCAGGGTCGCTACACCAGAGAAATAACCAGAATGAAAGATGAAAATAGGGAGCGAGAGAGGGAAACACCAAAGCACAACCCAATGATAAAACTGTTTCGTTATACGTTGCTGATTTTTAAAAATGTATTAAACCTATACCGTCAATGTTAGAAAGGAAAATAGGCTAATGAAGACGAAAATCGAAGTAGACAGAGAGGAGATGGTCGGAGACTAGCGTGGACTCGGTGGCTTGGCGGCGGTGGCGGCCGCTCCATCATGGCGAGGCCTGGCTGCTGACAGCGAGCCGTCACTTGCCGAAATGTTAACCCTTCATTATCTTTTAGAAGAATACCGACAAAAATTTACATCAAGTTGTCATCTTTTTTCTTGGGAACATTGTTTTTTTTTCGGGATATGGATAGTCTTTCATGTTGTGTAGAATCGGGGAATTGCTTGGATGTGGGATCGAACGAGCGGACGGCACCGCGTTCTTCCGCCGTACTTTGTAAATTTGTTTGGAATAACATTTCCGTGACAATGATGTTTCTGCACAGTCAGCCCGATGCTACTAACACACCGACAAAAAGGGACTCCCACAATAATGAACAAAACAAGCAATGATTATGTATTTTTATTCACGAGTTGAATTAGGCTCCCCTTCATTGTCCGGCTACGAGACAGACAAAAAACATTTAGAGAATTCTAATGTCCATTCTTCAAACTGCGATTCATATCCTGCTGGGTTTTGTTCGCAGGGCCTTACATCGAAGTCAACCATTCATGACATTTACTGAATATGCGAATATTAAAATGGCCGGCCCTTCCACGGTAAAAATAATAGCTTGTGACATTTATTCAAATTATCCTGGCCGAGCGTAGCGTATTGTCATGGCGGTGAAGGTTAGGTTCACCGGAGACACTCATGAATATTACGTCGCATAACCCTTTCACATTAACTGAAACCTCAGATAACGGTCTTCCCGCTGACCATAGTGTAGAGAAATGTCACTAATGTAATCAGCATATACTACATGACAATGCTACTTGATATTCCAAAGTTCGTCATGAATGGAGGATCATTTAGATAATGAAGTGTCGGAATGTCGAAATGAGAACTCTCGTGTCATTGTCCCAAAATGTCAGACATATCATAAAGCATTTATAATACACTCCAGTTTGTAAAGTCTGCGAATGAAGCGATCGAGAAAACAAATAGGATCGTTAATGCAATTCTGGAGGTTTTCCCGCTCGCTGCTGTGTCATGGCGGGTTCCACTTCATCATCGTATTCTGCTCTGACTGATATAAATTACTTCTCTTATTGTTCTACAGTTGGGCTCCGGCGAGGAGGGAAGGGAAAGCTTTGCAAAGAGGCCGGATATCAAAGAGAAATTACTGAAACACAGTCGTACGTGCACCTACTTATCTTAGGATGTATGGCCTTCTCTTTATATATTTCTTAACCCGAACAAAAGAAAGAAACGCGCGCACATTTTCTTCCTCTCGTACAATCTTAACATGTCTCCATAATCGCTGATGGAAAATTATAAAAAAAAAAAAAAAATTGGAAAATAGATTGTCAAGCGAGGAAATTATTTTATCAATGAAAGCCAAGCCATCGGAATTATACGCTCACTGCCTATTCCATCCAAGGCTTTCTACAGGTCTCCACAACGATTATCCGCACAGTTTAGGAAGCTCAGGTTCTCCTCCACTCTCAGGCGGCCATTATCCGTAATTTTCGGTTATTACACCAAATCGTAATTGTAATACGGCCGCAGTTTCTGGGCTTGCTTACTCTCCCCTGTTGGATCACATCCGCCGCGAGTAGGCCGTCCGTCCCGAGACGTGATCGAACTATGGGAACTAACGGCATTTCGGGGAAGGCTTGGTCGGCGAGGCTTCAAGTAATGGCACAAATTAACCGGGAAATCTGGTCATGTTCAAGAAAAGGTTTAATACTAACGATAAAAGAAAATCCGAATGAGACAAATCTGTGAGATACTTCAGCAAGAACTGCTAGTGCTGTATGCTAAAATGAAAGCAACAGTATTTGGTAGCGACAGTAAAATCAACAAATACATTCGAAAACTCGTAAAATCCAAAGCTACGCCGATACCCTCCAGTAGAAAATCTTGGCGCTCCTACAATGCTCAGCGGAAATGAAAGTGAAAAAAATACAGCAAACAATAAACAGGAGCTATAAATATCCTTCGTTTGGAGTATAAATAAATAAATATGAACTATAAGAATACGAAAAAATATCACACAACACACAAAAGTACGTATAACATTATGATTCATCTTAACCAGAGCGTTAAGAGTAATTTTATCGTAGTCCTATAGATGGTAAGATATCTTAATAAAAAAAGGTTCTTACATACCAAATCCATAAAATACAAAACTACAACAAAAGCGCACGTGTTGAGACACCATCATAAGGTTCCTGCAATATTGAAAACATGATGCTGATTGCTGGAAGATCGCTCACGGGGTTGCACTTTTCCGCGCTGACCTATTTCTGTCAAACGTGTTATACGGGTGCGCCAGAAATATATAACTTTTGAGACTTGAACAAAGGAAAGGAGTGAGCGAGTGAAGGGGAGAAAGGGATGTTGGTCGGAACTCGATGCAGAATTCTTAAAGGGAGGGAGAAGGCGCGTGGAGACTGGAGTGTACTTTGGAGGGGGCGGAGGTTCAGGGCCTGTATTTATTAGGTAAGATAAGCATAAAAAGGGCGGCCATGAAGAGAACCAATTCCAGCCGATTCAGAGACTAATTTAGAAAGTGGAACAACCCGAAGTGGGGGAGGGGAGGCGGGGACAGGGACACGGCAGAACAAATTGTATAGACGGCAGAAGTCTAAACCGATCTTAGAGGGAGCAGAGACCCCGGCAATTAAACTAGAAACAAAAAACACATTTCGCCATCAATAAGAATCAAGCTAAAATGCCGCGTCCCTTTCCGTCCCTTCACAGCCTCTTGACGGACGTGTTCGAGCTCGCCGCAGCCACTCCGAAAACTCGCATCAGACTCGCGCGCCCTCGCATTAGCGCGTCCCTTCCCCAGGTCAACATCTATGAACAAGAGATTTCATTGAAAGGCAATTCTCACCTAAAACACACAGTTCAAGGTTGATTACTAATCGATGAAAAAAACT